GTGGGGCACCGAGGACGGTACCCACGGCGCCAGGAAGATTGAGTTGCTATCCACCTTGACAACTGGGGTGGCATTCCAGGACTTCGGAGGTGGAAAGCCTAGACATCTCGCGTTGTGAAGAAGTCTCGGCGGACAGCTTCTTTTGTCGACTTCGGCCTCCAGGAGTTCTCGCCGGGCCCTGGGATCGTAACACAAACGAGGCCGGGATAAAAAGCCGGTTCTTGGGAATGGGTCGAGCCCTCTGTGGGTTGAAGTTATGGCAGAATCGTGACGTCGGGGGTTTGGGAAGGTACCAATGCCGTTGTTTTTGCGTCGTTTTCGCCTTCTTGGGCTTCCTGGGACACCCTCGTCGCCACGGCTGGATTCGCTTCGAAATTCTGGTTAGCACGCTCCCCGAGAGAGGTCCGGGGAGTAGCGGTCCAGGGTGGCGCCCCATGGTCTGGAGGAAGGAAAGGCTACATGCACATAAATGTTTGGAGCTTCTTGCAGATTTTGTTGGATCTGCGCCTGGGCGCCCTTGGCGGCCTGGCGGCGCCTCCAGCGCCGCCCCTGGCTCGCTCTGCGCAGCAGGGAGGGGGGGGCCCAGCACCGATCCAAGAAATCCGCGCGGAGCTCCTCCCGACAGCAGAGATTTCTCTGCATGCTCCTCTTCCTCCAAGGATCAGGCCCTGGCGTTCGCCCCGGGCATCATGGCCGTTGCGACGTGCACGTCGCTCATCGTCTTCAGCACGAGCGACGGCGAGTCCCGCATCGGCTCCGACGACTGGGAGCTGATGCCGTGGAGGCAGAACAGCAGCAGCGTGTACCTCTCTTCCCGCGGCAGCAGCCCGAGCTGAGTAGCCGCGCCCGGCGTAGCCCTCGGGCGCCTTCGGCCCTGGGAAGCGAGAGCAGGCATGCTCGCGTCGTGACACAGAAAGCTAGGGGAAGCTTTGGCCGTTTTCGGCCTCCGGGGGCCCTCGCCGGCCCCGGACCGTCAAGAACGGCTCAGCATGAACGAGGGGCCAGCCGGGGCTTCGGGGACGCCGTGCTCAAAACATAAGGACGTCGCATGTTTGGGCACTTCCGGCGACTGATGCGTCTGGGTCGGCGGGGCCCTTGAGTTTTTGACCTTTCCCCGTGATTTGTCGTCGGATGGTGGTCTCGGCTCGAACGGGAGCCCCCTTCTTGTGTCCGACAACTCGCGCACACACACACACACACACACTCACACACACACACTCACACACTCACACACTCACACACTCACACACTCACACACACAGATCTATATATATATATATGTACAGATTTACACACGTGCATACATACATACATACGTTCGTACCACGTTTACATACATACATGTATGCATGCATGCATGCTTGCATACATACATATGTATGTGCACATATATGTATATACGCTCCTATTCTTCTGTACTCTATTTGTATATGTGGAAGCACCCCTCAAAACCGGACCCACCCCAGGGACGCCCCGGACGCCCTTCCGGACCTCCCGGCGGCCCCCTGGACGCCTTTGGAAAAGGTCCGCTGGTTCTTCAGGGCCTCCCAGGGCGCCTCGCCTGGCCTTGCGAGCAGACTCAAGGCGATGAGTGGGGCCATCGGAAAGGCGCAAGAGAGACCCAAAACAGCACAAGAGAGCTCCAAGAGGAACCTCGATGATTTGAAGACGGCCCAAGAGGCCCCCAAGACGCCTCAAGAGGCCGTTAAGAGAGCCCCGAAGAAGCAGAAATCGTCCCATTCCTCAGGGAAATGTATATGTTTTAGCATATCCGCCTTTGGGGTCTGCGCAGCGTCCAAGACGGCCGGATGGGCCCCCGATATCGCCCCAAGACGGCCCAAAAGGCTCCCCAGATGGTTCGCAGACGGCCCATGAGGGCCTCAAGACTGCCCCAGAGAGCACCGAGAATGCCCACAAAAAACCCAAGATGCCCCCAGAAGGCTCCCAAGCGAGACCCACGAAAACCATGGGAGACCTCCAAGAAGGCCATTGGAGGCCCCCAACAGGGCCCGAGATGGCTTCAGAGGACCTCTGGAGGGCCCCAGCTCCCCAAGACGGCCGAAGAAGGCCCCAGGACGGCACAAGAGGGCCCCAGGACGATTAAAGAGCCCAAAACCGCCCAGACGGCGTTCTCCTACGAAGCAGTACATCGAGCTTACACGACGTGCTTGGTTGCACGCTTTCAGGCTGGAGGTTTAAGTCCCTCGGTCGAGAGAAACAGGCAATGGATCTAGGTTCGAAGTTCGACGGTCGAAGATTTCCTGAGTGCCTGGAGCCTTCCAGGCATTCAGGAAGCGACCAAACATAGATTTGTTCGGAGCTGCTGCGACTTCTTCGGCGTGTCATGGGAACGCTCCTTACTTCCTCAAAGGGCCTTCGCGCGTGACAGAAATCATCATCCCTTTTCGCACTCCTGCGCGCAAGCGTGCAAGCGCATCGGGCGAACGCGGTGTTAGCAGGCACCAGGGATATCAGAAAAATGAACCGGTCGCCCGTCCAGGCCTCGAGGGCCCCCCTGCGGAAGCAAGCAATGATTTATTGATCTGCCGGGGAAGCATCCGGAACAAGGCGCATGGCGCGAATCGCCAATGCAGTTTTGTGTGTATATATCTATAGGTTTATATTCATCAGAGTGAGGGGGCCGAACGGTCATTCATTGTCCTTGGGTGCGCCGCTGTAACGAGGATCCGTGTTGAGGATTGTGTTTGTTGCGTTGTTGTTGTTGTTGCTGTTGCTGTTGTTGTTGTTGTTGTTGTTGGTGGTGTTCTTGTTGGTATTGTTGTTGTTGTTGTTGTTGTTGTTGCTGCTGCTGCTGCTGCTGTTGTTGTTGTTGTTGTTGTTGGTGGTGGTGGTGTTGTTGTTGTTGTCGTCTGTTGTCGTCGCCCCCCCTGCGACCCGCCCGCGGCCCACCCCGCGACCCATCCCGCGACCCACCCCGCGACCCACCCCGCGACCCACCCCGCTACCCACCCGCGCCCCACCCGCGACCCGCCCGCGACCCACCCCGTGACCCGCCCGCGAGTTACCCGCGACCCAACCCGCGACCCACCCCGCGACCCACCCGCGACCCACCCGCGATACATCCCGCGACCCACCTCGCGACCCCACCCGCGACCCAGCCCGCGACCCACCCGCGACCCGCCCCGCGACCCACCCCGCGATCCACCCGCGACCCACCCGCGACCCATACACGTCCCGCCCGCGACCCACCCGCGACCCAGCCCGCGACCCACCCGCGACCCACCCCGCGATCCACCCACATTGTTTTAACGAAGCAATCGGCGCCTGCGGCGGGCTCACTGCATAATGTGTAAAAAATTAGGCGCCGGCGGCGGGCTTCTTCAGAGCCTGGCAGACTGACGACGTATTCGCCGCCCCCTCACGTAGCACTCCGCAGATGCGGCGGTGGTGGCGTCGGCAGTTGACGGGACTTCGGAGAAGCCCGCCGCAGGCGCCAAAGTTTCGCACATTATATATCCAACGAGCCCCCAGCAGGCACAGATTTTTTAGTTAAACCAATGTGGGTCGGTCGCGGGTGGGTCGCGGGTCGGTCGCAAATGGGTCGCGGGTGGGTCGCAAATGGGCCGCGGGTGAGTTGCGGGGTGGTTCGCGGGTTGGTCGCGGGGTTGGCCGCGGGTGTGTCGCAAGTGGGTCGCGGGTGGGTCGCGGGGCGGGTCGCGGGTGGGTCGCGGGTTGGGTCGCGGGTGGGTCGCGGGGTGGGTCGCGGGGTGGGTCGCGGGTGGGTCGCGGGTGGGTCGCGGGTGGGTCGCGAGTGGGGCGCGGGTGGGGTCGCGGGTGGGTCGCGGGTTGGGTCGCGGGTGGGTCGACGGGTGGGTCGCGGGTGGGACGACGACAACAAACAAGAATATCAACAACAACACCAACACCAACGATACCAACAACAACAGCAACAACGACGATGACGACAACGACGACAACAACAACAGCAGCAACAAAAACAATCACTTGGCCCTCACGCGCGATGTTTTCTCACGAAGCTTGCGACCATCATGATAACCATCCCCATCATGGGGGACTATTGTTCTATAGCGGGGTCCGTTTATCCCATTCCCAGATCTCCCGTCCAATGCGGTCTTGCAAACACCTCCTCCGAGGAATTTCAAAATATCCTGCCTCGAAAACGCATGCCCGCGGTTTGTTGCGCCGATGCGGGAACCGCCAGTGGAGCCCTAACCAAGGGTAAAGCACAAGGAAGTAGCAAGCGACAGGATTGCCTTGGTGGGGATTGGGGCTGTCGGCGGCGAGGCAAGGACCTGGCCCTGAATAGAAAGGGAGGAAGTCTCGAGCAGCACTGGTGTTGTTGCTGGGGGCGGTGCCAATGCTGAAGGGAGTACGTCGGTAGTCCAATGTAAAACAAAACGAAGTCTCGAGCGGGAACGCTGGTTTTGTTGGGACGGCGGTTGTCGGCGGCGAGGAGGAACACCGCCTTGAGCAAGAAGGGGGGAAGTCTCCAGGGGGAGCCGTGGTTCTGTTGGGATGGCGGCTGTCGGCGGCGAGGAACAGCACCGTCCTGAGGAAGAAGGGGGGGAACCTCGAACGGGAGCGTTGTTCTTGCTGGCGGCGGCGCCAATTCAAAAGACAGTAGGGCGCCAGTCCAGTGTAACACGGGAGGAAGTCTCGGGCGGGAGCGCTGGTTTTGTCGGGGCGGCGGTTTTCGGCGGCGAGGAGGAGCACCGTCTTGAGTAAAAAACGGAGGACGTCTCGAGCGGGAGCGTTGTTGTTGTTGGGGGCGGCGCCGATGAGACAAAGAGCAGCGCGCCAGTCCAAGGTAAAACGGGACGAAGTCTCGAGCGGGAGCGGTGGTTTTGTTGAGACGGCTGTTTTCGGCGGCGAGCAAAAGCACCGGCCCTGAATAAAAAAGGATGAAGTCTCCAACGGGAGCGTCGTTGTTGTTGGGGGGCTGGTTTTGGCGGTCCCCCAAACCGCTTGAGAGTGCGGCTCATTGTCAATCAAAATGCAGCCGGCGCCGCGGCGAGAGCGCCAAAGGGCCTGGGTGGGGTCCAACAATAACAATTGTTAGTAACTAGCCAACAACAGCAATCATTCTAAGACTATTCGCTTTTACTTGCCCGCGTGTCATTCAAAACGAGTTCCCCACACCCTCGATACCGGCCTTGTTTGCCTTCGATCACACCCCTTTGGGGGGGACTATTTCTCTTTGTGGGGGGCGGCTGGCCTAGACAGGCGGGCAAACCTGAACGGGCAGACATTCCTCTGTGGGCGTACCTGTGCCCGCCATTGGAATTGGCGTGGGCCCTGCAAACAGAGGAGGGGGAGAATGAGGGAGAGTGGGAGGAAGGGAGTGGGAGGGACGAAAGAAGAGGGAAACCGCCAGGAGAGAAGGAGCGAAGAGGGGGGCGGTTGATTAGAGGCAGACGGAGAGAGAGGGAGAGAGAGAAATATAGATATACATACAGACAAGAGAGGTAGATAAAGCGAGAGAGAGAGAGAGAGGGGAGAGAGAAAGAGAGACAGAAAGAGGGGGGATGAGGCAGGAAAGGGGAGGGAAAAGGGAGGAGGGAGAGGAGGGAAAAGGGGATAGGGCAGAGAGGCATAAGGATGAGAGAAGGGAGGAAGGAAAGACAAGGGAGGAAAGGAGGGAGGAGGGAGAAGGGAGAGGGAGGAGGAGCAGGAAGGTAAGAGCGTGAACGTTCGAGGAAGTCCTAGGCGAAAGCGCCGCTCCTGAAGGAAATCTCGGGCGGGAACCCACGACGGGCGGGCGATCCCCTGACGGGCTGGTCGGGCGGGTGGGACATTGAAGCGGGATGCCTGAGTATGGCGAGAGCGCGATTATTTAGTAACTTGCAACGGCGTCCTTGGCGCAGCGTGTTTCCTGAGTGTCGAAAGCGCGATTTCTGAATAAATTGCATGGAGGTCACAGGCGAAAGCGCAACTCCTGAACAACATGTGAGGGGCTCTCTGGCGGGAGCGGGGGTCTTGACTAAATTGCGGGGAAGTCTTGATTCAATTGCGAGGAAGTCTCAAGCGGGAGCGCCGTTCCTGATTACATTGTGAGGAAGTCTCGGATGGGAGCGGGGGTCCTGACGAAATTGCGAGGAAGTCACAAGCGGGAGCACCGATCCCGAGTACATTGTCAGGAAGTCTTAGGAGCGGGGGTCCTGAGTGAATTTGGAGGATGTCTCAGCGGGAGTCGTTGAACTCTCACTCTTGAAGAATAATTATTGTTGATCCCCCCACCGCTGCACATTGATTTTTTTCGATTGAAGTGCCACCCCCGGGGCTCGCACCTTGTTTTTTCTAAAGGAAAGTCTTCCTGCTCAAACTGTGCCCCTGCCCCCCGGGCTACAACAACAACGGCTCCCGCCTGAGACTTCCTCGATTTTTACTCAGGACCCCCGCTCCCGCTTGAGACTTCCGCGCGATTTACTCAGGAAAGGCGCTCCCGTCTGAGACCTCCTCGCAATGTAATCAGGACCCCCGCTCCCGCTTGAGACTTCCGTGCGATTTACGTGGGGACGGCGCTCCCGCTTGAGACTTCTTCGAATTTTACTCAGGACCCCCGCTCCTGCCTGACATTTCCTCGCAATTGACTCAGGAACGGCGCTCCCGCGTGAGACTTCCTCGCAATTTAGTGAGGACCCCCGCTCCCGCCTGAGACTTCCGTGCAATTTGCTCAGGAACGGCGCTCCCGCTTGAGATTTCCTCGCAACTTAGTCAGGGCCCCCGCTCCCGCCCGAGATTTCCTCACATACTCAGGACTGCGCTTTCGCGTGCGACGTCCTCACAAATTATTCTGGAATTGCGTTTCGGCGCTCAGGAACCACGCGCGCGCCAAGGACGCCTTCACAACGTGGTATCTTCCCTCTTCCTTTGTCCTTCCCCCTCCCCTTCCTCCCACTCTCCCTCGTTCTTCCCCTCCTCCTTTTGCAGGGCCCGCGCCAATTCCAATGGCGGGCAGAGAGATGTACGCCCCCGAAGGATTGTCCGCCCGTTCCGGTTTGCCCGTACGTCTAAGCCCGCCGGCCCCAGCAAAGAAAAATAATCCCCCCGAAAGGGGTGTGATCGAAGACGAACAGGGCGGGCTTCGAGGGTGTAGGGTATACGTGTTGAATGACTCGCGGGCAAGTAAGAGCGCACAGCCTTAAAATGGTTGTTGTTGTTGTTGGAATCCGGGGGACCAGGGGCCCAATTTCAGCACCAAGACTTTCCTCGTCAAAAATGGGTGATCGCGTCTATAGTGCGCACTTTGATTGCGAAAAAACAGCATGCACCGGCGAGGGGGGATCAGCAACAGTTATTATTCAGAAGTCAGGGTTCAATTATTTAATCGCTTCGCTCATTCCGCCGGCCCGTATTGCGCACCGCGGTCGACTGGATGAGAGGTCGTCGGCAGTGCGGAGCTGCAGGGAGCGGGGGCCTGTTGAGGGCCGTTTTGGGGCCTCTTGGGGCCTCTTTTGGGCCTCTTGGGCGCCTCTTGGGGCGTCTTGGGGGCCTCTTGGGGGTCTCTTGGGGCCTCTT